TTAGTTTAAGGGAAGACAGAGAGTGTATACACTGACGCCATTGTAACCGATTCTGAGCCATGTCACTAAGAGTCTCCAACCATTGGTTACAATAGTCACGCGGACCCCAACCAAGTAGTCTGCATCTACCAACATGGCTCAGACTAGACGTTAGTGACCTCAAGCACTGATGCCACGTTTTGGTTTGGCCGCCCCTAACATTCTTCCAACCATCTCCAATACCGGATAGCATTGCACGTCGTGGTAATCGGTGTTCTGTCATACGTAACACGTGGCCCAACCATCTCAGTCGATGAAGATTCACAACCTCATCACATGATTTACCATCATTTCCTAATACCCTGCGTCTAACCTCACTATTACTTACCCGGTGATCCCAGCAGATGCCAGCAATATTTCTAAGGCATCTGTGGTCAAATACTAATAGCTTACGAGTGTCTTCTACTCTTAGTGGCCATGTTTCGCTGCCGTAAATTAAAACAGAACGAACTGCCGCGCAGTATACTCGTCCTTTTATTGATAGACGGATATCTCGCCTTCGCCATAATTGACGTAAGTTGGCAAAAGCCAAACGAGCTTTTCGAATCCGTGCTGAGATTTCGTCAGACACCAACCCATTAGGGCTGATCAGACTTCCAAGATAAGTGAAGTTGTCAACGCGTTCGACTACTTCACTCCCTATCCTTAGTTCAGGTGTTGACGCAGACCAGTCCTGAAGCAACAACTTGCATTTAGAGGGAGAGAAGCGCATTCCAAACATTCTGGCATTGTTGCTGAGTGCTACCAAAAGACTCTGCATTTTATCAGCGTCTTCACCAAACAGGACTGTCATCTGCGTATTCTAAGTCGATAAGTGGACCTCCTGGAAGGAGATCAATGCCCGAGAATTCAGTAGGCGAGAATGTTATTTCCATCAGTAGGTCTATGATGAAGTTAAACAAAAATGGAGAAAGTGGAGAGCCTTGACGGACACCACTTGAGGTTACGAAAGCAGATGACAGTTCGCCATAAGCTCTGACTCGACTGGAAGTGTTCGAGTAAAGAGCCTTCACAAGGTTTATGTACTTCTGAGGTACGCCTTTCAATGACAGACACTGCCACAGAATCTCGCGGTCTACAGAGTCAAATGCTGCTTTTAAGTCGAGAAAGACCACCATTGTCGGACGCCGATAAGTATGCCTGTGTTCTAGAATCTGACGAATGGTGAATATGTGGTCGATGCAGCCACGACCAGGTCTGAAGCCAGCTTGGTTCTCTCGTGTTTGCAGTTCACGAGTCTTAGTTAGGCGTCTGATAATTATCGAGGCTAGTATTTTAGATATTATATAAGTTAAACTAATCCCTCTGTGGTTGTCACAGGATGATTTTGACCCTTTCTTATATATTGGGACGATAAGTGATTGTGACCAGTCAGATGGAATAACGTCTAACTCCCAGATCTTAGCTAAAATATTAGTCAACCTAATCGCTAAAATTGGACCACCATCCTTAAAGACCGCTGGAGCCAATCCATCTGGACCAGCTGCCCTTTCTCGTTTCAGATTAACTATAGCCTTTTGAACTTCTGCTAGAGTTGGGGGACCTACTTCAATGTTCCATTCACACTGTCTGGGAATGGAGGGTAGTTGTAGAGTAGCTGAAGGCCAGCTGAACTGTTCTCTGAAATGTTCCGCCCATCGTTCTAAACGTCTGGACTGAGACAGATGAGGGTGCCGTCTTTTTCCGAAATAGTTTAACTTATTAATTCCAGTTTCTTTTATTAGTCTGTAGAGCTGTCTTGTGTTCCCTATAGCCGCCGCCTTTTCCATCTCTTTTGCTTTCGTTGCCCACCACTGCTCACGGTCGTTCCTTAGACTTTTGGTTAACCTAGATCTGATTTGTTGTCGCTCTTCATCGTGTTCAGAGCCTGATGGGATGAGTTTACGAGAATCCATCAGCGCAATAGACCTTGAGGAAATTGTTGGATATTCAAGAAAATATCCCAGAAATTATTCTATTAAGTCTAATGCTATTCTTGGACTTGGAGATGGTATTATTTACTTATTGGTCAGTACTTATTTCACGTGTCATTTTCCTACTGGTTAATATTGTACAAAGTTATTTTCTATTTTATCGTACGATGTGGTCTGCTTGACTGGTATATAAACAAAGTATGTTTGAAATATAATGATTCATATATTTTCACAGCTATAACAATTGGTGACGGGGTGAAGAAAAGATACAATCCAAAGTCATTTCTGTAATTGGACGAAATCCAGTCTAATTATTCAACCAATCAGTATCCAGTTTGTCATCAGTGTCCTTGAACGACATTGGTCATTATTCATACAGTAATTTTCATTGCTGGTGCTGATCCAAAAAAATGACACTCCCTTCCGATCGATTACAGCTGCTCTTTGAACGACATATGGAGTTATTAGTCAAGTTTCCGCACGCAGCTGCTAAATTAGTCATGCCATGAAGATGCGACGGAAGTGGATGGATTGATATCTGAATTACACAGTGAGCTGGAAAATGACAGCAGCCTCCATGAATCCTCGATTAACTGTACTTCAAACGAAACGGCAGTCATCCATAATGCGCCCAGTGGTCCAGTACTTCCCATTTCAGAAACATGCCCGGTAATGGATTCGAACTCCGTTATCCCCGAAACAGCATGTACAGACAGCAACGTATCCAGCTCAAGAAAAGATCCTATTGTTTTGCCAGAAAATGTGTTTCACGCATCAACTTATAATCAAGAACCTGGCACAGTTTTGTTGGACGCGGATTACCATAATCATCCATTATCTACTAGTGATGCTCCCCATAATTTTGACAACAATATCTCAGAAGATTTGAACTCTGATGATTTCGAACTGAATGGTGTTTATCCTCATTATCTGGTCGTTTTTACTGAATTCCCTGTCCAACATGTCTTAAATACAATCAAGTTGATTGCAATTTGGGTTTATGAAGACCCAACATTATTTCGCGGGGGAGGATAGACGCGAAAAAAATCCAAAATCCGGATATCAACTCCGGATCTCCAAAAAAAAGGGAGGTGTTGGGATATTCAGGAAAATATCCCAGAAATTATTCTATTAAGTCTAATGCTATTCTTGGACTTGGAGATGGTATTATTTACTTATTGGTCAGTACTTATTTCACGTGTCATTTTCCTACTGGTTAATATTGTACAAAGTTATTTTCTATTTTATCGTACGATGTGGTCTGCTTGACTGGTATATAAACAAAGTATGTTTGAAATATAAGGATTCATATATCCGAGGCTGAGACTTGTGTTCTGGACTCAATTGGCTGGGCTAGACAGGGAAGCGGGACCAATCAGAACCCCAGGCTGTTCTACGTGTTTGCGCGTCTTTGGTCCGATCAATAATTCGCTATCTCTTAATCTACAGCATTATTTTCACAGTTATAACAGAAATCCATTGGTTCTTTGTAACCCTGTGGTTTAAATCACTGTAAGATGTCACTGCTGTTTCTACAGCAGTTTGTATAGCTTTCCAAGCAACATTTGGGTCGGCCTCGTTTTCAGAACTACCTAATTGTGACCTCAGTTGTTCCTGGAACCTACTTCTGGTTTTCTCGCTACTCAATTAAGTTCTAATGGGTCTTTTTACTGTGGCTTTTTTGCGTCCAGTGAGGCGCAAGCAGATGCGTGCCCATATTAGGGCGTGGTCGGAGTCGAAGCAGGTACTCCAGAATGAGCGAAAATCTTATACCGACCCTCTTCAACGATGACTGATGGCAATATGGTCTATTTGAGTCCATCGTTGGATCCGCCATGTTAGACGATGTCTCTCCTTATGCTTAAAATTTGCGTTTGCTAAAAATAAACGATTATCTGAGCACAGTTGTAACAGACGATCACTATTATCTGTTCGTTGTGCCGGAATACTAAATTACCCACCTCAATGCCTTTCTCTTTGGTTTAAAATACCTATGTGGGCATTAAAGTCACCTGCTACGAGTACTATGTTTGAACGTTTAGCATTCTGAAGAAGTTCAGATAACTTTCTGTAAAATTCATCTTTCATTTCATCTGAGCTGCAGTCGGTGGGAGCGTAGGCAGAAACGACAAAAAGGCAACAACGCGTGTCGCTATCATTCAGAGTTCTTACGGAGCCGTTTAGCCGAACAGCACACACACTTTAACAGTACTTGTTCCGCCCTCATGCTTAGTGCTATCCCTACTCCTGCCAGTCCATGAGAACGGGCCATCGGGTCGACAGAGACACGGAGAGTGTGTCTCGTTGGCTCTCCGTTTTGCCGAGGTGAGGTCAAGTGAATGACCACACTGGGATCCTGTATGCGTGTTTCAGAGACACAGCATACATCAATGGTACGAGATTCAAGGTTCTAGCCAAGGAAGCCTGTTGACCGATTTGACATAGGGTGCGTACGTTGAACGCTCTAATGTGTAGTTTGGAGCGAGGTTTCAGTAGACCTGGGACAGTATTTTGAGCACTAGAATCGTTGACTATGGTGACACTCGAGGAGGAAACCGAAAGGGGAAGTTTAGCGTTGAAAGTCGATGTAGGAGTAATGACAGGAATTGAAGAGGGAGGTTGATTATAAATACAGTGGTCTTGAAAGCTGTTGGAGGTATGAGAGCGGTTATCACTTTCCCGGTTGCCCATGCCGTGGAAGGGTTGTTCTGGAGGTACCTGAAGAGGAAATTGGATTAGAGGTGGTCTTAGTGACCTGGGAGCGTGACCGCAGTGCCCAAGGGACAACTGCTCCGTACTTGTTGAGACCTTACCACCGTGGGATAAGGCGAGGTGTGCATTTTAGGGTCGACCTTCTCTAACCCCACCCCTCCTTGTGGGAAGGCAACATCGCTGTCATGCTGGTTGTCTGAAGGAAACACCTTGCTGCTGTCACACCTTGGTTTGTTGCTTTTAGTCTTACCGCTTTTCAACCGACCTGTCTGACATAGTAGGACCTTGAGGAACGGTTGTTCCAGCCAGTATAGCTCGGTTGCCTCATCACTATAGGCAAGCCCGACCACCACGTCAAGGTAGCAACAACGGTCGGGCCATTATTATATTGAATCTCATCCTTTTTCCCTACCATATATATATTTGATAGTTGCTTCAACAACCAACTTAAAAGTTTAACAACTACGATATAATATGTCTTCACTTTGGTCTTGACCTTTGAAATTAACTTATACTTTTGTTAGTTCTGCTAATTTATTTTTTCCTCTGAAATCACACTATTTACGCTTAATGTTCTATTACCACTGATACTGTTACTACTCCCACTACTCTGATATTTGCCCCTGATAGTTTCATCTTGATATGTTGATTTTGTGTGGCGAATTGGACTGATGCCTATTTGTGGAAAGTTCCATGTTATTTATGACAGACTGAAACCCCTCGTATATTAGTTGAAAAACCCTAACTCTTTAGGACCTAATATACAAGCAGGCTAGTTAGAAAATGATCAGGCTAAAATCAGGAACTTAAGGCCTGGTAGCAACGTTGTACTACCAACTCCATAGGAGTGTAACAGCAGTTGGTATTTCCAACAAACCACTAGCATCCTCAGAGATATTGCCTTCCCATGAAGAAGGATGGGGTTACAGTATGATGGTCGTAAAAACAGAACACCTGACCTTACCACACAGATTACCGTTGCTGGCAGTAAGGGCTTCAATGTATAAAAAAGGGTGTGTGACCAGACTCAAATAACTGTCCTTTAGGTTCTACCATCACACATCTAGGTAGTCAAAATCACTACCAAACCAATTTCCTTTAAAGGTGCCTTAAGAAATATCCTTCCACAGTGTAGGTAACTGGGAAGTGATTACCACCCATATATTTCTAACAATGAAGACCAGAGTAATCGACTTTTAATCACTACGCTCCATTAACTTCGGTTTGTTTTTAAAGAGTAGCGATGCCAGTAGGCTTCATACAAGTACTGTACCTCGAGTTCAAGTGCATGCAAATCTGTATTTAGCGAATTTCCCAGATTATAGCTAATCAAAAAAAAGAATTAAATGACAATATCAATTATTATGATCTAAATAGAGTACTTTAGAATAGACGTCAGGCTGGTTGGTTAACAACCGTTGAATATCTAAAGTTAGAAACCAATTAGAGCTGGTGCAGTTTGGACAAAATGGGCTAGTATCACCAACTTTTATAGGAACAAAGTTGAGTAAACAAATCTGTACATAGACACATAGTTGTATTATTCCAAATAATATTTGTTATAATCTGTGAAAAAATGATACTTCCCACAGGAAACACTGAGATTCGCACAACTCAATTAAGAACACAAATTTAACAACCGAAGTAAGAATTATTCATCCCCCGAAAAACACGACAATTCCTCTATCAAACTAAATCCATTTATTTATTGATTTTACTGACATTTGACGATTAGTCAACGAATATCACTTATAACTGAAATATGGTAAATAAAAAAATAGATTTTTCACAGAAATAGTACAGAAAGTATACTATCAGTTACACTCTGCATAAATGTCACATTAAATTAAACAAACATTATATTAAGTAATTATCCCATTGAAATGATATAATACGCGGAAGTAATACTGAACAATAATAAATTACTTAATAATTAGTTAAAATTTGATCTCACATTTGCATTTCATCCTGACGAATAATATTTATTGTAATCCATATACAATGTAAATTATTATTGGTTTCAATGTTGTCTACAACTATCATCATTGATCAGGACATTAATCAGAAATTTTCTTACAAAAGAAAATATTTTTAGCTTGCAAAAAGGATTCCTATCATGAAACACGTTATTTTTGTAATATTTCATTGTTTAGGAAGGAAAAAAACAACTCACTTCTATACCACTAACTACTGAAACAAAACACAATCGATAATCGGCATTATTTCTACCTATGTATTCATGCATGTAAAACTCCACAAGAATGGAAATATTTTACACATCTGTATGCAGGTAAACTACACTGTCTTATAAGTTATAAAAAATAACTTGACTGTAATGCTGATAGAAACGGAAATACGTAAATTCAAGCTATTTGTATTGGGAATTCTAAATTGATATTGTTCTGGGATAGGGCGTGACAATTTCATTTCTCTGTGCTAATTGTGTATGGCAACTTGAACCAATGTACATACGTACCAGGTTCCACGTTGCGACTGACTGGCTGATTGACACTGTTCATATAACTTGATAATAATAATAAAGGGAGTTTACCATTATTATATAAATTCTGTACATCTCGTAATTGTTTCAGACTGACAGATCGACGGAAGATTCCTTCAGTTGTTAAACCTAAAAGAGTTAACAGAGAGAAAGGAATTAAGTAAACGCTTAGATTTTGCGTCACTTGACGCTCGTAAAAAGGTATAACTGAAATATTGATGGAATTGATGCTCCCTGTGGGATTTGAGTCTAGGTCATTCTGAGACGTTGTCACTGAACTATTCGAGGTACGACTGACCTGCCATGAAATTAGATCTCTGCATCTATTGATCATCGAGGAGTGGCCAATATCATATTTATCTGGTCTTTTAGTGCTAATCCAATGGTACAGACTAGCGAAAATTAGTCACTTTGAAAAGAACAGTTTAAGTTCAAATGACTGAATTTGGCTATGTAATCTATCGAAATCCCTAAACTCTCTTACAGTTTTGAAATTCATGCCTTGAAGAAAAACATGCTCAACTGCTTTAATTCATTTTATATTGTTTGTTCGAATCTTCCCATTGATGTTTAGGACTGCAATCGATCAGTCTCTTATTTGCATATGTGCATCCTATGCGGATTGCCTCGATATTGCCTTGAATCATAAGCTTTATAAGCAAAAATGGGAAGTGGCTAGCAGTGGAATCCAGGACGTGTGTTCCGTCTTATTGGGACTCGTCAGCCGGATGTACCTGCACCCCAGAATTTAAGATTCAAACAAACAATCCAAAATGAATTAAAACTTTACTTCATTACACAAGCTAATGGCTATCACGACTCAGTAGCTAAGTGGATAACGCGATGGCGTTTGGAGCGAACGATACTGCGTTCGAGTTCCGGAGTTAACATAGTCGTTGGGATACGGGTACATCCAGCAGATGAGTCCCAAATAGAACGAAACACACATCCTGGATTCCACTCCCAGCCACCATCCATTTTTGATTATATTGAACTACCGGTATAAAGCATGAGATAAAGTCTTGAGACTGTTAGTTAACAATTAAATTAATAATGTCAATGTTAATATTAGTTAATCTATCTTGACTATTTTGGTTTCATTTAATTATTTCTCCTATTGTGCTTATGCACATTATATAAACACATTTATGCACGATTATGTGTTATTTATGGATGAATGATTGGAAATACTTTTTATCGAGGACTTTATTAGTATTTATTTATTTGAACACATAAATATTGATACAAGGGGGCACCAAATATATATGCGTCATACAAAACAATGAGAATGGGAGGAAAAAAAGAATAACTACAACAGATTAGTGTAGGGTAGTGTGATAATAATTATTATTGCCATTATGGAGGGAATGGAAAGGTACAACCGGAAGAATTCTTTCAGTTAATGCAGATACAACCAATTTTTATGAAGAAAGTAAAAAAATCTACAGCAGGACCGCCACTGGCTTCTATTCTGAGCCATATCTGATAACGTCTCTAGCCACTGTGTAGCACCATCTCTCAGACCCCAGCCAGGGAGTCATGAAGAACCAACAGAAGCCAGTCACGCACAACTTTCTTTCATACCACGACACCATGTCATACACTGACCACCTATCAGTTTTTTCCAACTGGTCCCAGAGTGGGCGAATAATTCACGACGTGGAATTCTCTGGGACGACATTCGTAGAACATGTCCAAGCCACAGAAGTCGATGTTTCAAGATAGTGACACCAACTGAATTATCGTCTCTGTGCCCGAACACACGATGCTGAACCTCTGCATTACTAACATAGTGTTGCCACTGGATGTCAGCAATCCTTCGGAGACAACAATGATCAAACACAGAGTCGTCTAACATCCTCAACTCGGACACTAATTGCCAACTGATTAAGTGAGGATTGCATGGCTTGGGTATTATCGCACAGTAAGACAATATCATCCGCACACTCAACGTCGAGGAGTCCTTCCTCGGGCAACAGATCCACACCGTCATTACTTACATCCATCAGAGCTGTTCCCAGAACGTCGTCGATAGCAAAGTTGAAGAGGAATGGTGAGATTGGGCAACCCTGTCTAACCCCACTGCTTGAATGGAACAATGGAGAGAGGTGGTTGTATGCCCTCACTCTGCCTGAGGTGTTTGTATATAGGGCTTTTAGGATGTTAATAAACTTCTCAGGCACACCCTTCTTCAACAGACAATCCCAGAGAACTGTCCTGTCCAACGAATCGAAGGCAGCCCTGATGTCATGAAACACTACGATTGTATCAGTACTGGTGCGATGTATTCATCGTGTTTGATTTCACATAAAAGCAGACTACAAAGACTAAAATCTTCGAGTTTTTGATGATTTTTTCTGTCGCATAACTAAAGTAAAGGTCAGTTCATGATATAGACTATCAACTCAACAATCTGGATAACTCACTCGTACTTAATATAGCTGTTATAGCCATATCTCCTCTATTGTGTCCTCATGAATTATGGGGATTCTGAATAGCGAACGTGGACTCACCTTGTTATCCCTCATTTATTAATATTTTATTCTATGTATGTAAAAAGCAAAAATATGATATACATATTTTACTTTCATTATTAAGAAAATCAAAGTACCACATACCACGATCGCGTAGATAATCGATGGTATCTTCAAAGACAATAGGAATAGGTCGACCGCCGTTATTCATTTTGATGCTATTATAAGAAGAGAGAGGAAAGGACAATGCTTCAATCCGAAGTATATATTCTAATTGAAATCAAAACTTTGTTCAACCTATGAAGAACATAATATACAATAATAAGCATGCATTATATATATATAAACCGAGTTCGATGAGAGGAAAATAGCAAGTGAAGAAAATGTGAGATGGTTGCGCAATATCATGAAGTGCTTAAAGTTAGATATTTACACCATTGGATCCCAGCCCAGTGGTCTAGAGGTTAAGCGTTCGCGAGCAAGACCAAAGGTCCTGCGTTCGATTTCTGGCTGCAGGGTTGTAAATGCGCACTACCGAGGAGTCCCATATTAGTGCTTTCAAGATTCTAATGGTTATCTAACTTGAATCGACTCGTGATTCACATGAAATCCAGAAATCTGCACAATTTAATACTTATATATATTTAAACGTTACATACTTACAATTGTAAACTAACATTAAATTGTTGTTGAGGATCTGGAGTAACATCTTTGCACTGTTCTTCATATACACCAGAGAACACTGAAGCAGCATCCGGCAGCGATGGTATATAAGGTGTAGATACTCGAGCAGTAGAACTGAAATAATATAAGATAACAAGAATATTATTTGATGTTGTGTCAGAATTTTAATATACCATTTGATACCGATATGTATGAACTCTAGTCCCCACAAATTACTTAAGTAACTTATTTTATTAAGTAAGCATTTATGTGCTCGCTAATGAGTTAGTGCTTATGACATTGTCCGGTTGCTCAAAATGAAAGAGGCGGAAGAGTTCAAACATGGACCGTAGTGGCTGAATGGGAAATCCCTTTATTCAGTAATGCGCAACGTAGAACCTGACATATATTCATTGGTTCAAATTACCATACCACATTAACGCTAAACAACTGTATTGTGATGCTTAGTGTTCGAGACTGATGTTAATACACAAACTTTTTATTTTCAAGCCCCTAACCAGGTACTGAGTGAGAAGGCTAAAAGTGATGAAGGGAGTTCATTAGCCTAGACTGATTCACATGCGAAAGCACACCTCAGAGAATCAAACTTCATGGCCAATTACATCTAATTGCCATTCGGAGGTTTTTGATTGACCAACTATGTTACACTGTCATCAGCATGACTGAGTAAAGTGTGTAATTAAATGATAGGCTGGGCGAGTATAGAGTTATAGCACGACATTTCATGATCAAAAGGTGAGACATCATAAACGACACGCACTATTGAAAGGAATATGTCTGGCACCAACTGAAGATCTCAGCATACACGTCCACTTGGTCAAAAGACAATCGTATGTTTACTAATAATTTGTGCACATTACAATTTAGTGTGGCAATCAAATTTTCCTACCAATTTCAATCTTCCCTTTTGCAGAGCGGGTTTGGTGTATTGTAGGAAGCCTATGTCGTAAGTGAATCGAACGGCAATACACAAAATAATTAGTCATTGACGCCAGAGTTTTTTTACTATGATCCGCATATTAAAACTGTATGAAATATAACCACGGTGAAAACCCTCAAACCTTAAGTTGGTACTTTTAGTCTTTCCGTTTTCTAACAGAACTGATAGGACTGAAAGGAACACGTGTTTTATCCAATATAGCTCTATCAAGTCACAGTGATAGGCAAGCCCGATCACCACATTAAGGTAGCAGCTACAGTTGAGTTCATATAACAGATTGTAATAAATAAAATGGTGAATTGGTGTTTAAATGACAAAATATCTACATAAGTATGGGGACATTATGCAATTGTAGTAAGGGTTTTATCAATTACTCACTACAGTATAACTGGTTCCCAAATATTTTACTAATTTGATCAAGATAACTTATGGACACATGCAGGCTATTAATGAGTCGTGTCGAGCAATAAATGCAATGAGAGGAGTAGAATTGAAATAATAAATTTTATTGACAATTTCAATTATTATATGTGATCGTGTGTATTGGATTTCCAATAATTAAAAATTTAGTTTTAGTTCTACTGGATTATGAATGGTCACACAAGTACACAGGTACATTAACGTCTCAACTGTTTCTAACAACTAGCTATGGAGGACGATGGGTGAAGACACAAGCTCCTGCCAGTTTTATACATAAATATTATGATTTGACGATGGCATACTTATGGACATAGTACAGTTTGTGAAATAATACTAAATCCTAACCAAATACACTTCAAGCTGAATGTATCCCTACCTTAGAAGACTTATGATCAAGTTTAATAAAAGCTACTCAGATTAATGATAGATAGAATAGCTCTACCCACATGGGACTGTGATCATAATCTGTACATCACTTATCTGCTCTACTAAATATATATAACATTCTCACGGTAAACTTTTATTTGTTCTTTAAGAATATCAAGCAAGCAGAATAGCCTGACCACTAGATTATGCTCGACGATCGTAAAGGATGAATAGATGATATAACTTCTACGGAAGATTATATAGGTTAAACATTTATGCCATCCCCCTTCAACTTAGGTGGAATAAGACGCAAGTAGGCTCCTTACATTGGTTAGAGTTAAAAATCTACAACCATGATTCACACATTTATTTATTTATACAGACGAGAATACAATTTGAAAATAACGGAAATAAAGTCACTTAAAAATGATGTTATTCTTCAAAACTAAAACTAAAAACACGCATTACTCCATGAAGACTAACCAACATTACTACTCATCTTAGAAAATCAATAACCACATCCATGCCCTAGCAACAAAACCAGGAAAAGTACAAACATTTCTAACCGTTTACGGAAACAGATCAAAAGGTTTTGAAATGTGAATATCCCTTGGTTATTGAAAGAGTGCATAGATCATTCAAGTAAAGAATTTATCGCTCAAAAACCAATTAAACTTAATTGTATATAACGATGATTTTTACGTAATTTAAAAGTTTTCTAAAAGTTTATAATCAGGCTTGTTGAGCTTTAAGTTTGCGATATTTCGCTACATGGAAACCCACTAATTCGAGCAGATCAATATCTTAAAGACTTCTCTTTTATGCCTTGAGTCACAGGCTTTATAAGCCAAGATGAATGGTGGCTCAGTAGTTAAATGGATAACGCGATGGCGTTTGGAGTGAACGGTACTGGGTTCGAATCCCGGAGTGAACATCAACCATGGGATGCAGGTACATCCAGCTGACGAGTTCCAATTAGGAGGAAACGCGCGTATTGGATTTCACTGCCAGCCATTATCCATCTTCGCTTATAAAGCTTGTGACTTAAGGCGATATCGAGGCAATCCGCACAGGATGCACATATGTAAATAAGAGACTGACCGATTGCAGTCTTAAACAACAATGGGAAGATATAAGCAAACAACACCAAGTAAATTTAATAGTATTTATTATTCAGCACATAAGCGGTGGATAATATTCAGATTAGTGTTTACTTTGAACCAACAAGCAAACAAATGAACTCATTATTGACGTAAGTTTTAATAAGAGTCTGTGTAATTGTTTCATGAGACATTGGTTTAAAGTCATATCATTTTCACTATAGGACTGAACAATTTAAGAATTTTATTAATCCTAAGCACTATATGAACGTATCTTCTATAACACTTTATGCAATGTGAATAACTAAGGTAATATTGCTTTCTGAAAGCCAATCTCTGTCAAATGAAGATGTGATACTATCCCATGAGCTCACTGACTGTTAGAACGAGCAATGTATGTGGGTATGTAGGTAAAGAATACTTAATAGGGTGAGCGTGATTGTCGTAACCAATGATCTGTAGATATTGAGTGGAATATATCAAACTCAATCACAAAGTCGTAGATCTAATTAACAGCTTTTATTTTCTTCTAAACTTAGAGGTTTAAAAATAATTTCTGTTAAAATCCTTAACTGACATATGCTTGATACAGTGATTGATAGGCATAACGTAAAATTATAATAATGAAAAAATGTTTTACAATTTTGTTAAAAAGGTAATAAATTCACATTTATTGATGTAATTAGTTAATTAATTAATTAGCAATAACTTGCTTACTCTTTTTGAATTTTTGGAATAGATCTTGGTGGTAGATTTTTTATAATAGATTTATCATAGCTTTAATAAATGAATAAAACAAAGCAAACTTATCACAATAATAACAATGGTATTATTAATAATTAGTTAATTAATTAATGAGATATAACACCAACGAATAAAAAGATAGGAGTTACAAATAGCGAAAAATGAATCCCATCTGTTCAGGTAGATTAAAACATTCAATGAAAAGATTTAATTTTAGAGGCACTATTCTCATTCAAGCTGTACAATCACATTTACATGGCACATTTAATTGATAAAGAAGATTTAATGCATATGATAAGGCACGAATTGGAAGAGCAAGTGAAAAATTTCTACAATTGAAGAATAAATGGAACTCTAAAGAATTATCAGTCAACAATAAATTCATAATTTTCAATAAGAATTTTAAAACAGTTCCGTTGTACGGAGTTGAAGTTTTGGAGAACTACTACAACCATCATCAAAAAAGGTAAAGGGGTTTATAAACAGTTGTCTATACAAGATACTTCAGATTCGTTGGCCAGACACTATCAGCAACGACTTACTGTGACAGAGGAAAAACCAGTTTCTAGATGAAGGAGAAATTAGGAAAAGATAGGGAACGCTCTGAGGAAATAATCAAACTGCATCACGAAACAGGCTCTAGTTTGGATACCTGAAGGAAGAAAGGCAGACCAAAAAACACACTGCGCCAGAAATCGAAGGTATACATCAAAACGAAGAATAGCACTTTGGTAACCCTTTGAATGGAGAGACCGTAACAGAGCTGATCAGATATCCCTGGTCGGTGGCCTATGCTCCACGAGAAATAACAGGCATAAGAAAATAAATTCAATTGAGAACAAAACAGTTAGCATGCAGAAGTTATCATCATAAATACAATGGAGCAGATGGCAACAACTATGTGATGGCAAAGAGAAAGGGAGAGAACATGAATGAGGGGAGTTAAACGGTTTGGTTTCGCAACCAAAGGACCACAAGTTCATACACCGATCCATCAGATTTTTCAGTCTGAAAAGCTTGTTCACTGCAAACACACACAAAAGTGTAGTTTCAAGCAAACTGTAAGAATACATACCTGATAAATGTGTAACATTATTTATCTTATGGAATAATGAATGGAATACGAATTCAGAAAAAGAAACAGAACTAAGACTATATGATATGAAAAGAACATAAACATTATGAAAATGATACGACAAAATGTAAAGGTGAATTGTGGTTAACAGTGGGATTTATGAAGTATATTTAGTCCAAATTCGGACTCGACAGCCAAGAGTACATGCATCCTGGTGCCGATGTCCAACGCCCGTTTCAAACCCATTAACCTTTAGCTCCGAACACCCAAAGCATAAAATACTCAAACCCCTACATATAAATAAGACACAATGTTGGCTAGAGACATGGTCTGAGTTTATGCCTATAGCATCTATTCGAAAAATAAACCAAGGAATCATATAAACCCCTAATGAATATAAAGTTTAAGGTTTATAATGTAAATAGCTATGGGCTTCGCAGTTTAAAATAATCTCATGTGGACATATTTCACCAAGTTTTGATGAACTGTAAGACAAAATGGACATTAGGAGCAAGACATCATTGGCTACTGAGCATAAATTGAAAGAAACAGCCCACTATTCATATTATATTCTAGTGAAGATTAAACTACGGGTAACTTCTGAGAACTATTAATGGACTAATATTCTATATATATTCTTATTGTATAACTATTCAGTAACTAGATTGCATATATCCATATTCCTCTTATTATAAGCTTTATTTTGACCTATAGACTATTATTATACAATTTAATATTCTTAAGTTATGTTCAGTTTATTAATTACAGTCTCCCACGTTCACAGCCATTATTTAGCTTGATCTTGTATAAATGTTATTTCCTATTTTATGGTGTAATGCTGCCTCTTTGGCTGATATATAAACCGAGTATGTTTGAAATAAATGATTAGCACAGTGGAAGCTGTTATTGGCGTTCTGGACTCAACTGAAAGGGCTAGGAGAACAAAGGGTCAATAAGGACGCTAGGCTGCTCATACCGGTCGAACGTTACTGGTTTGACACAGTATTAAGATTGTATAAGTCGTAATTCGATTGGCGAATAAATCACATGATAATTAGCCGGCCTTAAAGTCACAACAATTTAACATGTGAGTTGCTTTCTGTCACTGGTTTCTACTCTGAACTCACTGAGTGCAGACTCCTTATAATTGCATCGATTGAGGTACTGCCTAGCGTATACTCTGGCTCTCTATGTCGGTCGTAAATTGGTATTCGGTATGTAATCCAGTCTGTGCATATCGTATCAATCGAGCATTCAGTTTATTGGTAGCAAGATATCAGTCGCTAGTCGTGTATTCGTATTGTAGTAAGAAATTGTAGAAAACAGAAAATATTTTATTCAGTCAATAAATATCAGTTACAATATGTATTAACCAACCAGACATTCAGGAATAACAAAATGATCTAAGACAATGAAAATAAGTTAGATGCTTTAATTTCTTCTCCCCAAATAGAACTAAGTTTTCCATGTGTTCAGAGATGTGCTCAAACAAGAAGAGCAAACACTAAGTACAGTTTTACTTCACAGGAGCAGGTGAATAATAGAGAATAGACCACAAATTAAAACAATTTTGCTATTACCAACTTGAACTTTCTTAACGGTATGTTTTATAATGAATAGTGGTAGGAATAACAAAGCATGTTATAAAAAATTAATGAATTAACAGGCTTATTTTATTCAATTGTTTATCATTATCTAGTAGAAACTTTAACGAATCATCTAGTTCCTATCAACTGGAAAACTAAGGTATAGACTAACAATGTGTAGGTCTATTTTTAGTGTCAGTTACATTTATTGACATAAAATACGATTATATTTAAGTCCAAATTAGACAATATAGATTTTGGTGGTTTTATTCTCTGACTTGGATGGTTTAATTGTGAAGCTTTTATTATTCTTCCAAGCAACATCACCAGCATAAACTTCAGGTAGAAGTTTGTGCTCGACGACCAAAACATTCAGTACAGAGAGCAAAGCTCGACCTAAACCATCCACCTGAGCTACAAATCTCCACCGCGTCATATATATAAATCACATATCTCTATACCATAGAATGACAATTTAGATAAATATTTCAAAGACAACAATTTTAGCAGTTTAAAACAATTTTAATAAGATTTCTCTCTGTGTAAGTATGTGAGATAATGGTTACGCAATAGGAGAGGTAGATTCTGATTTACTTGAATCGACAAATTCACAATAAATGTAATGAAGAAGAATACCCACATAAACTACAAATAATTATTGTTCATATAAAATACTCTTACTTTAAAACACGTTGTGGTATTGGCAATTGATCAACGAATAAGGTCTCTTCTAATTCGGATAATGCTTCAGCATAAACCACTTTATTTGACATTTTAGAACTGAAATATTTATTTTTTAAAATTTGTTTGAAAGGAGAGAAAAGTTGTGAACAAGATAGAGATCAAAGCTATTCGCTGGTCAAATGCATATAATACTGATAATAACCAATTTTTTCAGATAAAATCAATTCGACAGTTATATTCATGACATGCGATAAGACATTATTTCATTTGTCAGTTAATGAGTCTTTCTGTTGATGATGTTAAGGGCCGTAACCGATCTATGATCTCTTTTGGAATATGTACATCCTTAACGGACTGTCCCGATTATCATAAACCTTAAGTAAAGTTAGATACTGAATAACAGTAGGATCCAGGACGCGCGTTTAATCTTACTTAAGACTCGTCGGTTGTATGTACCTGCACCCGAGTGTCGATTTTTATTTCGAGATAGGATAGTTTAGATGATATTGCCCATAATGCTGTAATTTTAAATGTCTCCTCTTAAAAGCACACTATTATTAGTTAGTCTTTTACATAATTCTTTATTAATGTATCAATACTAACCCGAGATCACTGGACAGTAAATAGTTTTTTCCTATTATGAAACTTCTTAGTGGTGTTCACCGACGACCTCACTAAGGTTCAGAATCTGAACCTAAAGATCTTATGGTGAGTACTTAACCTTTAAACTACTTATATAAAATCCATTGATTTGCTTCCTAACAATGATTAATTCATGATGAAAACTACCTACAATTTAAACTAATTTTTACAAAACCTATTTAAGAAAACCGGTTTTTCTAAATATCACATACGTCTGAAATAATTAAGCACATAACAGATACGTAGTATATATTATCCACAAATTATAACACGAAGTGTGAAAAACATAACTATCACGATAGGGTTTTTTATTATCCCTATCACTTTGGATAAGGCATCATTTAATGATACTTTTAAGCTAGTGCAGACGATAACATTGGTGGATGACAGGTAGGTAAAAAATGTTAATTTGAACAGTGTGACTTTGATCAACACGTGTTGGAGTCTAAAAATATTCCTCGAAAGTCAGTCAGTCAAAAGCAACGTGAAACTTGGTGCAGGTGTACATTGGTACAATTCGCCATACCCTATTATTACAGAGGTGAAACTGTCAGATCAAATCCCGGAGTGGTAGGGGTATTGAAGTACTAGAAACAATTAAGCATCAAAGATACTAACCAAGGAAAAGAAATCAGTGGAATAAAAAAAAACAGTGATGAGTTCCGAAACTTAGAAATGAAGAGCGAACGAAAAGTGGATGCATCTATGCCACTGCAAACGATTTTAAGCTACGTCATTTCGAGTCTCTAACCATTGGTTATGATGATGACGTGGACTCCAAACAGGGAACCTAAACCTTATTTATTTATTTGAACAGAAAAACATTGGTACAAAGGGGCATCAGATACATATGCGCCATACAATAATAATGAGAATGTAAAGATATAAAGAATGTAAGGTGAGTATAAGTAAAAAGAAGTACAACAATGAACAGAATTTGTGTATGATACTGAAATAACAATAATGAGAGGGGCAGTTCAATTAGTAAAAGTACAACCACAAATAATTCTTCCGCTTAAAGAGGTGACGTCTTTTTTATGGAGAAAGTAAAAAAAGCTACAGCAGGACCGCCACTGGCTTCTATTCTGAGCCATATCTGATAACGTCTCTAGCCACTGTGTAGCACCATCTCTCAGACCCCAGCCAGGGAGTCATGAAGAACCAACAGAAGCCAGTCACGCACAACTTTCTTTCATACCACGACACCATGTCATACACTGACCACCTATCAGTTTTTTCCAACTGGTCCCAGAGTGGGCGAATAATTCACGACGTGGAATTCTCTGGGACGACATTCGTAGAACATGTCCAAGCCACAGAAGTCGATGTTTCAAGATAGTGACACCAACTGAATTATCGTCTCTGTGCCCGAACACACGATGCTGAACCTCTGCATTACTAACATAGTGTTGCCACTGGATGTCAGCAATCCTTCGGAGACAACAATGATCAAACACAGAGTCGTCTAACATCCTCAACTCGGACACTAATTGCCAACTGATTAAGTGAGGATTGCATGGCTTGGGTATTATCGCACAGTAAGACAATATCATCCGCACACTCAACGTCGAGGAGTCCTTCCTCGGGCAACAGATCCACACCGTCATTACTTACATCCATCAGAGCTGTTCCCAGAACGTCGTCGATAGCAAAGTTGAAGAGGAATGGTGAGATTGGGCAACCCTGTCTAACCCCACTGCTTGAATGGAACAATGGAGAGAGGTGGTTGTATGCCCTCACTCTGCCTGAGGTGTTTGTATATAGGGCTTTTAGGATGTTAATAAACTTCTCAGGCACACCCTTCTTCAACAGACAATCCCAGAGAACTGTCCTGTCCAACGAATCGAAGGCAGCCCTGATGTCAAGAAACACTACGATTGTTGGCCTGTGATAAGTATGACGGTGTTCTAACATTTGGTGGAGGGTGAATATGTGATCAATACATCCTCGACTACAACGAAAACCAGCTTGCTCTTCGCGAGTCAATCTTTCTCGGGTTTTGAACAATCTACGGAGAATGACGGAAGCCAATAGTTTGAACGCAATCGTAAGTAGACTTATCCCCTGATAGTTCTTGCATAGATGATGTGAACCTTTTTTAAAGATAGGTACGATTATTGACTCATTCCATGACGTTGGTACACTGTCTAACTGCCAAACCTTTGTGAAAAACTCAGACAGTTCCTTAACTAGAAAGTCACCATCATCTTTTAAAAGGGCCGGAGGTAAGTCATCTGGATCCAGTGATTTGTAGAGCTTAAAGAGTTGGAGTTCTTTGCGAACTTCCGCCTCATTTGATGGATCAGTCGTCACATCGAATATTTAGAGACAAAAATAACATCTTATATTTATTGTAAATTGTCTCACGTATATATATAATTAATACTCTGAATAAATAATACCTACTTTATTAGTTATATTTCAGCTCTATTATGAATTTGTATGAAATCAGTTTCAAGTTAGTATAAACAAACGACTCGACTAGTGAGTGAACTAGGTTAGGGGTTATCTGCAATGTTTCCAATGTTCAGTAGATGTGTTGTATCTAGCATTTTACGGTCAGTTATCTGTTCCTTTGGCATGTGGGTTTCGCATGGTCAAATGTAAATCTTAATTAGGGATTTCATTCCAAACCCTAACATTTTTTTCATCCAGCATATTAGGTTGCGCTACATTAACATGTTCATTGGAGACCGGTGAGGATAACTCCAGAGATTTGAAGTGAAATCCAGAATGTAAACTACACACTAACATATAACATTAAACCGGTCAATCAACGGAAAAATAGTCTAAATTGCTGGATATAACACACTTATTGACCACTTAGGACAACTTCAGCCGTTAACCAGTAAATTCCGTGGTGTTTTCTTAATGCACATAGAAAATCTAGTGATATCAAACATTTATTGATATATGTAGAGAAGGATTAAAAAAACATGTCTATACAAAGTTAATTAATGGAATCGATACGATTTTGAATAATTGTAATTCAAATTGTGGAAGACTGGGCTTATAAAGAAAACAATCTTTAATGGGATGTTAATTTTATTGGCATATCAGTGTCTAGGAAATGATATGTAGTATGACAACAAAGTGTACAGAAACAATTAGGAATAGTATACTTTTTATCTAAGACAAAAGTGGAAGATATGTGAGTTTATTCAGATTTTTTAAAAACACCAGTATAAGTAGAAGCACAGACCAAATTGCGACACTGCGGATCTGATAAGTCGTGTAGGTTGAACGCTATATACGAATCCTAAGCTATTCCCGTAACCCGCAGTCTAGAACTACACAGCGACTCGAAGTCCAGAAGGAAGACACAAGTATGAGAGAAATCACTTTATCCCAAAGTTCATTCTAGTACAGAAAATCTAGGGTATTTATAGATGTTGGCGTCTGTTAAATCAACATCATATTTCAGCCAATCCGTTAACGTCATATTATGCTACCGACCAATGGTAGCACGCCACGCTGGAATTCTCGAACGTTCCATCATACTCTGATTGGCTAGGGCCCTTCGGCTCCTTTTGGGCCTCTGGTGGCTCCGTTGAAGTTCTCCGGAAGCCGACCCAACACCTCCCCCGAATAAGATTTCTTTCTGGGATCTACTTGTAGTTTGACGACTGGGTTGCGACGGCGTTCCATTATTCTTGTCGTCTTTCTTGTCCAAGGCTTCTTTTCAATGTTCCTGGGCGTTTGTGGCATTGGTGCGTCTAAGATTAAATCTAACGGGAAAATCGGCCGGTTACTTCGAGTCTGCACCGTTCTTTTGTCCTTAAGGATTTGATTTGTGTGACGTATGCATGTCCCAAAAGCTCCTCGAACTCTGTACAGTACTCTTCCCAGTTTTTGCACAACTTCGCCCGGCTCCCATCGGTTCTTCCCGATGTAGGATTTGATGTAAACTTTGTCGCCAACACTGAAGTTTCGGATACTTGGACCGTGACTGCGCTCATCCACTAATTTGGATGGTAACATGGCATCGAAGATGGTTCGAATGCGCCTTCCAAACATGGCTTCCGCGGGAGATTTGCCGTCTGGAATATTCGGGTTCGGAGTGGATCTGTAGGATGTTAAAAATTTTGCGATCACCTGCCCGGTTGTCCCTTCTCCTCCCCCTTTCAGTAATGCTCGTTTAAAAGTGTCCACAAAGCGCTCTGCTTGTCCGTTTGATTGTGGATGATAGGGTGGAGAACGAAGATGAGTTATTCCGTTTGTTCTACAGAAATGTTTAAACGATTCTGCGGCAAATTGCGAGCCGTTATCCGTCACTAAGGTCTCCGGTACTCCGAAACAGCTAAATAGGGTAGACAACTTGTGGATCGTTTCTGACGTTGTACAATTTGGCATGATATATACTTCCGGCCATTTAGTGAATGCATCTACGATAATTAGAAACATTTTTCCTTGGATTGGACCGGCAAAATCTGCATGAAGTCTTACCCAGGGTC